AAGGGTGATGCAGACAGCAGCAGCAGTATCAGCAGTTCTGTGTGGGTGCGTGTACCACTACTGATTGTGGTTACACTGGCCTGTATTCTTGTGTGCTGATTGATTGTGTTAGTGGTGGTGTGATGGTGTGACTCAGATCATCCTTTGTTTTCTTTTTCTTTTTTTGCATATAATCCCTACAGTCTAACTAATATTCCACCTGTTGGTAATGTATTTTCTTGTTTGTTTCTTAATGTTAATTTGTTGTTTTATTTTGTATATTCTACATATTGTACTATATTCTCTTTGTTTGGGCTACTTTATGCTTTACCCAGTATAATGGGATAGTCTGTTTTGTGGAATGAGAAAAATAAATAATAATATTCAATAATAATAATAATAGCTTGCATATGTACATGCGTAATGGGGCATACCACTGTTTATAGTCACACTTGGCGTATATCTTTTCTTTAGTTGGTTAATTTGGCCTTGTTATTGATTTGTTTTCTTTTTACTTTTGGTTTTTCTTGTACCCTTTTTGCGCCTTGTGCTACACAGTTAGGTTTCTCTGGTTTATGTAAAGGAAAAGTCATAAAAAAACATATATATACCCCTATTTATTTGTAATTGCATATACACTGACAGGCAAAGACACTGTTATATATTTGTTTTTTTTTTTTTCGTAAGCTTTTCGTATTTTTGATTCAATTTTTTTTTCTTTTTTTGTGGGAAATATGGGATTTTTTTTTTCATGCTGGATACTGTGTGTTTGGTCTTTAATTGAACTATAAGTGATGTTGGAGTATTGTCTTTTCGGTGTTACTAATTATTTTTTCGTTTGTTCCCTATGTTGTTTTGTGTGAGTGATTGTTGTGTGTTGTGCTCTGCTTTGTTTCTCTCTGTGTGTATTTTCAATATATTGAGTGTTTGTATTAATTATCTTTATCTCTTCTTCTTTGTTCTGCATTCAAGTGGACTATAACTACAAAATAAATCTTGCTGTCGTGAAGATGTCTCGTGTGTTGTGTTTGCTCGCTTTGTTGTTGAGTGTTGTCTCTTTGTGTGTGACAGCTGAGACCGGTTCTTCTTCTTCTAAAGCTGCTACTGGTGGTAGTTGTCTTGAAGGTTCTGAACCTTCTGGTGAGGGTAATAATTGCTCGCCCACTCCTCCTGAAGGTGGTTGTCCTGAAGGCGAGGGTGTTTCACAGTGCACGAATAAAACTGTGGGAACTGAAGTTGCTCGTCCTGATGAATGTACGGAAGTTACAGAGAAAGGCAATTGCGTAACTAGTGATCGTGACACTGAAGGCAATTGTCGTGATGGATCTGGTCCTTCTTGTCCTACAAGCAGACGAACGGAACAGGCGTCTCAACGTGAACGCGGTACTATTGGTTCTCCTGGTCCTGCTGCTTCTCCTGGTCCTTGTGCTGCTGCTGATGGTGCTACTGGCGTTCCTTGTCCTACTGTTGCTAGTAGTTCATCTGGTGAGGGTACTAATAATCAACTTCAAACTAAGCCTTCCGTGCAAACACTTGCACCAGCTGAAACAGCAACACCTGCCGGAAGTATTGCTCAAGAAGGCCCACTACCTCCTTCCGATGAACCTGGTACTGAAGCTTCTGATTCTCCCGGTAAAGGAGCTGGAGCTGGTGCTGCCGGTTCTGACGCTGCTGCCTCTGAGAGGAGTGGTGGTGCTGCGCCTGCAGGAGAGCCGCAACCTGGAGAGAGTGGAAGAAATGAAAATGGAACAGCGAATACATCTTCCCCTCCCAATTCAAACACTGAGGGTAGCAGTGGTTCTGATGGTGGAACAGTTGAGCACGAACGTACATCTGCAGAGGGTGAAACAACAGGCACCCAAGAAGGAAATGTGGGAAATACAGATACAACCACCTCCACCACTACCACCACCACAACCACCACCACAACAACACTTCCTCCTGAACTCACAAACAACAAGAAGGGTGATGCAGACAGTAGCAGCAGTATCAGCAGTTCTGTGTGGGTGCGTGTACCACCGCTGCTGATTGTGGTTACACTGTCCTGTATTCTTGTGTGCTGATTGTGTGGGGTGGTGGTGGTGATGTGACTCAGGTCATTCTTTGTTTTTCTTTTCTTTTTTTTGCATGGATCCCTTACAGTCTAACTAATCTTTCACCTGTTGAGATTATCCTCTTTTTTGTTTCTTAATATTAATGTGTTTTGTGTGTCTTTTTGCTCTCTGTGTGTTTATCCTATAATAATTATTATTGCTACTCCATTGTGTGTGTGTGTTCTTGGAGACTCTCTCTGTGTGTGTGCACCTGGGCTTGCACTGTGATAATGATGATGAACTGCTTTTTTGCAGTGAAACGAAAAGAAATAATAATAACAGATGAATTTATATTTATAATTGCGTATATACACATAGAGACTTACACCCATAGTTGGTGTATATTTCTTGTGTTTACTAGGTAAATGGTTAATGGTTAATATCCTTTTTTTTCTTTGCTTGATGATTTTGCTGGGGCGGTTCAGCCTTTTTTGAGATATTTGTGAGTGTGGGCTTTTTGTTGTTTTTACTGTTACTG